ACACACACACACACACACACACACACACACACACACACACACACTAAACAGTTATAAAATAGTTTGATTATTTTTATGACAATCGTCAGTCGACTGATGGATTAGACGTAGTAGTATGTGTATTGTGTGTACTGTGTTCTGTGTACCTGATTGAGGGGGACAGGGTTGTGTCATCAGTTGCTGGGCAGACTCCAGACCCTCCAGCAGTGACATCATGGAGTCCAGAACAAACAGCTGACGACCCAGAACCTTCTGGACCCGTCTGCTGTCCTACAAACAATGATCAGCTGATCAATGAGGATGTATTACTATTGATTATATATAAAGTCAATGAAAAGTAAACCACTGTATGAATGTAGAACAGACGGACCGTGAGGTAGAGAACCATCCGGGCTGCTTCAGAGACCGGCTGGTCTGAGTCTCTGCAGGACTCCAAGAGAACCGTATCACATCGCTGCAGAACCCTGAACACAGAGAACCAGAACCTTTACAGTACTACCGAGACCAGGAGACCCTTCATGGTACTTCTACCTCATACTGTCCTACAGCTTAGAGGTACATACTGTACTTTGTATGGCGTTAACGTTATTTAACGTTAGCCGTTAGCTTCAGCCAGCTAATTGACCGTTAATCGTGTATTTAGCCGTTTCAGTTACAATCTCTAACGTTACATATTTTGGCACATAAAAACAACTCGTGAACGTTAAATAACATTTTAAACATTTTAAACATTTTCTCTGAAGTCTAGTGTAACCTTTAATTTGATAATACAGCGTTAAATGTCGGAGACTTACGATCGAGCTTCAGCCATTTCTGTTTTGAAATCTCCGCGGCCCTACGAGTGATGTGATTGGCTTCTTAGCAGTGACGTCGTAGTACGTTGAGCCAATAAGGAATTCCTTGTCAAAAAACCTTTATTGACAATGTCGTCATTCACAGTGACATGTAGTGAATATAAATAAAGTAGCTGGACTTTAATGCATTATTCTTTATTAATCACATTTTACAGCTTTACAAATTCCACATTCACCAACGTCAAGCTACAAAGATTTTTAAAAATAAGTATTTGTATTTATGATTGAAATATAACAATGCGTGTTGATGAAAAGACATCAAAACAATGAATGTAAACAATATCTATAATGATTTTATGATAACTTACTGTCATACATTTTATTCCTACTTCATTTATTTATTTGCTTCTCTATATATATAAAGTTATAGCTTTAATAAGCATGCAGCGCGTGCTACTGCTGCAGTGCATCTCCTCGCGCTCAGGTCACGTGCTCCTGTGTGTTGACTAGAGAATCTCAGTAGAGCTCTGCAGCAGAGAGGCTAACGGCTAACGGAAGAGCTAGCTGTCCTCCGAGGACAAAACTCGCCGAAAGTGAGACACCGACAGAGACATGAAGACACCGAGCGGACAGGTGGAGGTATGAGGTAACCAGCACGAGGCCGGTAACGTTCACAGGTAGGTCTTTAGAGCAGGTGTGGATGTGACCCGGATGATGCTCAGACCTGCTGCTAATGCTAACACACAGCTAGCTAGCGTAGCTAACTCCGCATACCGTCACATAGTAGCGGGTTTTAACCGTTAGCGTGAAGCTCACAGGCCGGTTTAGTGTCTGTGTGTCTGGACATATGTTGAGCATTAACGTAAACATCTGGAGGAGAGCTGAGAGCAGAGAAGCTAACGTGTTAGTTTAGCATCCTGCAAAGATTCCTCAGAGTCAGGCCGGGGTGCTGATGATGCTAGCTGGGAGCTAACGATGCTAACTAATGATGCTGAAGTCTCTCCTCTTCTGATCTAACAACCAGAGTCAGACATCTGGATCTGGATCTCAATTAGTTTTTTATAGACCCAGATCTTAACTGTAGTGGGTTTTAACCGAGACCTGGTCTGGTGTGGTCTAGACCTGGTCTAAGATGTGGTCTGGATGGAGAAACATCTGTGACATCCCCCCCCCCCCTTTTTCTCTTCTGACAAACACAGAACTAGTTTCTAGTCTACTAGTTAAACTAATGTTTGAGGTTTCTGATGTAGACCTGGTCTGATGTGGTCTGGATGGAGGAAACAAAGGCAGAGAAGTCTTCATTTCTTTGTGTTTTTGACAAACAGAATAAAGGTTTCACTTGTAGTCCAGGTCTTTAATGTACCTGGTCTGATGTGGTCCAGGTCTTTAATGTACCTGGTCTGATGTGGTCTCTGTGTGTCCTACACACAGCCTGCAGACTATCAATCAACCAGTCATCAATGAAGTGAGATCCCTCCGCTGCCTTAACTAGTGCCTCCGGTGTTACACTGTTTCCTGTCCCCCTCCTGATTTTTATGATTTCTGTCAGATTATTTTGGTGTATCACAAACTGGAATTGTGACATTTTTAGTTTTTTTATGCAAAAATCCAGAATGAAACGATTTGATTGGCTGAATGAAAACAGGTTCTCATCTACAGCCAGGTTTTTTAAAGTCTGACACTGTGGACAACATGAAAACAAAACAATCATGCTTGTTTTGGAACTACATTTCCCACAATGCTCCTTTTTTAGTTTTTTAAAGCTGTCATTAGTTTCCATGTAGTCAAGACAGGAAACTTTAAAACATGACGGTTCTTTACCATGTTTGGACATCAGTGATGATCATGATGTCGTCTGACTGAGTGATGAAGAGGAGGAGCGGTGACCCTATTCGTTCTGATTGGTTTGCTGCGCAGACAGAATGACGATGGCATAATTAACGAGCTGTGATGTTGTGTTTCAGGTGTGATCAGGTGTGTGTGTGTTGGAGCAGCAGGATGCCTACCCCTCCCCCCCCCCCCCCCCCCCCACCAGGGGCACCCCCAGCTCCCCCCACCTTCAGCCAGGTAACTCCACAAACACACACACACACACACAGTCCTCTTCATCACTGTGATGAATGATCTGCCTCATGCTTAAAGAGGCAGATCATTAAATTAGCAAAATAACTGAAATCGTCCCAAAAAACGGCGACGGCAATTAACGTGTAAAATAAAAAACCGATGAGTCAGCTGGTTGTGTTGCTGCACCACCCTCTGCTTCTACTTCTTTAGTTTTTATTGGCGGTTGGTAAACAAGCTTAGAGGCACACTACTGCCACCTAGTGGACTGGAGTCGCTCAGCTCCAGGGAGACACTCCCAGTTAAAGCTCGGCCATCTCTCCTGTCAGAACTCACCAGTTATGATTTATTTTACTCATGGTGTAATCCCCCCCCCTCCCAGGCCAACACCACCCCCCCCAAGCTGAGCAGAGAGGAGGCTAAAGGTCACGGCGCTCTGCTGACCGACATCTGTAAAGGCACCGGGCTGAAGAAGGTGGCGGTGGTGAACGACCGCAGCGCTCCGCTGCTCGACAGTAAGAGCCAAACACCAAAGAGCCAAACACCCCCCACAGATCACCCATACATTCGCTTATACCAATACCTACAGAACCAGCCTCAGCAGCAGGGGGCGCCGTCTGAGGAGCAGCAGAGGACGGCACTAGAGAGTAAGACAACAAGCCTTCTGTGACCTTAGAGGACGACTGCAGGAGGCAGCAGGGTGTCAGCCAGCCGCCATGTTTCCTGTCCAGACACTCGGTAGATCACATCCTGAACAACACACTCGGTAGATCACATCCTGAACAACACACTCGGTAGATCACATCCTGAACAACACACTCGGTAGATCACATCCTAAATAAATCACTCTCCGGTCATTTAACTCAGCGTTCAGGACGTTGTTACTACGGTGACAGAACCTATATTATGGTCTGGACAGAGATGACTCAGTGAAACATGACACACTTGTTCAGAGGATTTATTAATCTCTGATATCCGTCCAGAATAAATGTAATACCTGTTGTTATTGTTTAGTCAGTTTAATGTAAACAACACAGTTAATCAGCTGATCAACACTGTTTGTTATTGGTTTCATCTGCACACAAAGAGAAAGATAAAAACTCTGTTTTACATGTTGCAGTGAAAAAAGTCTCAATATTTAAATTATATGCATCATAATTATAATAAAGTCGCATTATTTAAATTACATTCATCATTATTATAATGTCTCATTATTTAAATTACATTCATCATCATTATTATAATATCTCATTTAAATTACATTCATCATTATCATAATAGTCATTATTTAAATTACATTCATCATTATCATAATAGTCATTATTTAAATTACATTCATCATTATCATAATGTCTCATTTAAATTACATTTATCATAATAAAGTCAATATTTAAATTACAGCCATTATTATAATAAAGTCTCAATATTTCAATTACATTCATCATTATTATAATAAAGTCTCATTTAAATTACATGTATCATTATTGTAATAAAGTCAAATTATTTAAATTACATTTATCATTATTATAATAAAGTGTAATTATTTAAATTACATTTATCATTATTATAATAAAGTCAAATTATTTAAATTACATTCATCATTATTATTATAATGCCTCATTATTTAAATTACATTTATCATTATTATAATAAAGTCTCAATATTTAAATTACAGCAATTATTATAATAAAGTCTCAATATTTAAATTGTATTCATCATTATTATAATAAAGTCTCAGACGTGACCGCAGCACAGCTCAGGGTGGATGGATACACAGCTTTGACAGGAATTAGTTCCAGCATGTGATTCCCTGTGAAAGGAGGAGTCAGTCAGAGGAACCTCCACTGCAGGACTACAGAGACCAGCATGCAGCACAGAGGGTTAGCATGCTAGCTAGCTCGCTTAGCTAATCAGCACTCGCAGTAGCTGCTACACCTAGGCAAATTTTTATTTTTAATTTTTTTTATTCTAAATACATTTTATTGTTAGATTTATATTTTTTTGCTCCTTATATTTTTGTAATTCTATTATTTGTAGTGTATGTTTGTCATTTTATATTTATTATTTGATCTTAAAGTAGTTTTTACATTATTTCTATTAATTAGCATTTTTATTTAATTACTAACATTTTTTATTTGTTTTGTATTATTTTGAAGTGTCCTGCTCCAACAGGTGAAACCGAACCAATGGACAGGTGAGGGAGGTCTGATGAAGTGAAAACACCTGTGAGGGTTACTGTTCATAAAAAACGTGAATCACATATTTCTACTGAACATCAACCGAAAACGATCAAACTGCCGCTTCACTTTCTGTCTGAACGCGTCAGAAAATGTTTTTTAAGATGTTGTAGTTTGATAAAGATTCTCTGTCCTGTGATGTCATAGATCATGTTATATAATGACTGTGTGTTTGTCACTCATGTTGCGCTGTCGGTGATGTCATCGGAGCTGCGAGGGAGCGTAAACACTTCATTCAATTTTACCGTCTCTCACTTCACCTCACTTCACTTCACCTCACTTCACTTCCTCTCACCTCACTTCCTCTCACCTCAGTGTTTGACGTCATCACCTGATCTCACCTGCATCCCCTCCACACATTTAACTCATAGAGTGAGTGATGTCATCGTTAGAGTGTAGTGACATTGTTGCCCTCTGGAGGCCCCTCGTTCACCTGTCCAATGGTTGTGGTTCTCAGAGCCCAAAGGAGGCGGAGCAGCAGCAGCTGGAGCCAATGGCAGTCCAGCAGGAAGCCCGTCTGATTCTGTTCCACCAATAGGATGGCTGTTCACGGGGGGGGTCCCCAAACTGAGACCAGTCGGAGGTGAAGAGATTGTTTTTAATGTATTCTATTATTTCTGCAATTCTTCACTTTTGTACTATTTAGTTTTATAGATTTTTCTTGTTACATGTGATAACATGTCATTAAATGTCGGTTAATTGTGTTACATGTTAAATATTGGTTCATCTCATCATGTCGCTACATGTGGCTAGACGTGGTTACACGCCTCGCTACACGTGGTTACACGTCGCTACATGTGGCTACACGTGGTTACACGTCGCTACAAGTGGTTACATGTGGTTACACGTCGCTACATGTGGTTACATGTGGTTACACGTCGCTACATGTGGCTACATGTGGCTACATGTCGCTACGTGTGACCTCATGACCTCTATGTTCCCTGACAGATGGTTCTTCTGGATGTTGTCCTTCCACTCGAGTTGCAGCGCCCCGCCCCCCCAGCCATCGCCATGACGACACAGAGAGCCCCTCCCCTCAGACGCTGTCGCCCACGAGTCGCTCCCAGCGCCCCTCCCTGCCCAACTTGAGCTCCCCCCCCTCCTCCTCTGCAGCTTCCTCCCCCTCCACCAGCATGAAGCACTCCTCCTCCGCCCCCCCTCCACCTCCTCCTCTCTGTCGCCGCGGTAACGCCCCCTCTCCTCCTTCCTCCTCCTCCTTTTACAACAGCGAGAAGCCCCTCCCTCGGACCCCAAACAACACCCCGCCCCTCCCCTCCAAACCTCCCCCGTCTCCCGGCAACAGCAGACGCCCTCCCACCTCAGGAGGAAACCCCGCCTCCTCCCCCTCCTCCTCCTCCCTGGCCCCGCCCCCTCCACCTTATCGCATCGCTAACAGTCCGACAGGTGGCGTGGAGGCGGTGCCTGACCTGCCGCAGCGTCACAACTCCCTCGGCAACAAGAGGGCCGCCCCCTCCCCCGGAGGCCACACCCCCACCAGAGGCCCCGCCCCTCCCCCACCCCTGGCCTCCCCCACCCCCTCCCAACAGGGGGCCAACAGGCCGCCGCCCCCCATCAGAGAGACGCCAGGTAGAGGAGCAGGTGAGGGCTGAACACACATCACACTTATTACACGCTAAATAGTAATATGGGTTCTTGAAATCACCAACTGGAGGAAAGGCAGACTATCCAGCTGCATTCTGGGAAATGCAGGATCCACCAGTGACTTTATATTCTTCTTTTTTTTTGCTGTTTTATTTTTCTTCATTCTCATTAAGATATTTCCAATATATTTTAGTTTGTATTTTTATTATTTCTTTCTTTTTTGTCCTAATTTTTATTTTGTTTGAATTACTTTTAATAATGTATTTTATTTTTTTTATATTACAATAACTTAACAGTTTTAAAATTGATTTAATGTTTTATTTCTTTTAGTTTTTACTGTTTTTAATTTCATCAACAGTTTAACATGAAAGTTTCTGATTTTAATGCCGACAATCGCATTCATCGACCACCGGCATCATCTCTCTCCTCAGCTCCTCCTGTTCCGGTCCAGCCGTCATCGTTGAGACCAGGTGGCAGAGAAGCTCCGCCCCCGCCTCCTTACAGGACTCATGGTAGCCCCTCCCTCTCCCCTGACCCCCCCGCTAGAGGAAAACCTCCTCCTCCGCCCACCCGCAACCCCGCTGGTCCTCCCCCTCCTCTCCGCAACGGACACTCCTCCTCCTCCGTCCCTCGCTCGTTTGTCGGTGAGTACGTGAGTTTAGTCCCTCGTGCTTTTATTGTGAAAACATTGTCAGGAAGTGCAGCTTCATCTTAACAGAGATCAATAAAGCAGTTCATTGGCATTCAGCTCCTTCTGTCCTCTGACTCCTGTCCTCTGACTCCTGTCCCCTGACCCCTGTCCCCTGACCCCTGACCCCTGTCGTGTTGAAGGCTTTAGATCCGAGGTCTGACTCGTGCGCTCTGACTTGTGCGCTCTCCTCCTGCAGATGACTTTGAGTCCAAGTATTCGTTCCATCCTCTGGACGACTTCCCTCCTCCAGACGAGTACCGACACTTCGCCAAGATCTACCCCAGCAGAGCCAACAGAGGTACACGCTTACAGTGCTGCAGTACTGTGTATAAGTACACACAGTACTGTGTATAAGTACACACAGTACTGTGTGTACTTATACACAGTACTGCAGTGTTTCTTTATAGTACATGTAATACTTGAATCTGTTTATGTCAGTGATGAGAGGAGCTCCTCCACTGCCTCCTGTTGGGAGGTGAACCATGAGATGACATCACCGCTGGAACACACACACACACATATGAACACACGCTCCGCTCCATGCTGTTTGACATCACATCTGCAGCATCCAGCGTCGTCGTCGTCTTCATCGCCACCTCGTCTACGCTCTCATCTGATTGGCCGAGTTCTGATCATGTGTCTTAAAGTGATGAAGAGGAGCGGCTCGCTCTGCAAACTGTGACCTCAGCGTTCTTCCTCCTCCTCTCTGGACACCTTTAGTTTGTTTTGTTTGCACTTTTTGGTTGCAGCTCCTCGTGAGGAGGTGTGAGGAGGTGATAGACTGATGAGGAGGAGCAGTTTGTTGCACAGACTGAAGATGAAGGCGTGAGTGGGGGGGGTCTTTATCTCTTTCTGAGCTGGAGACAAACTACGTTGTGATGTCATCAGAAATCCTCGTAAAGTTCCAGTTTAAAGTCGTAATATTACGAGGATAAAGTTTGATTTTACGAGAGAGTCGGGACACATATGTTTAAAACATGTTTAAAAATACAACTTTTTTTTATGGAAATGTTGAGACTTCTTTTTTTTTTTTTTTACATAAAATGATCTGTGAACCTTCAAAGCTTCATTCATAACGTTATTAGAACTCTAGTGATGACGTCATCAATATGATGTAAACAATGGGATTCGTTCCGTCCTGTAAAATTATTTTGACTTAATTAATGTAATGAAGTCAAGAGAAACCAAGAGTGCTGTTTCTTTATGCTAAGCTAACTAGTCCTGACTCAGTATTTTTTTTTACATAAACAGTGTCTGGTGGTTTTCTGTGATTCAGTGTTTCCACTGGAAAAAAACAGAAAAGTCTCAGAAAGAAAAGTCTGGGACGTCCTGATAAACCATGAAGACAAACACACTGAACTCAGATCCATCAGCAGGATGCATCTGGATCTGGAAGAGCTGGATTAGAATCACTTCCTGTGATGTCCTGCTTTACAGTTTACAGTCAGACGGACACACCTGTAAATACTTCACTTGCATCATCATCATGATGTCATGTGACCTGATGTGATGCAGATCAGATTCTGAGGCGGAGACTTTAAGTGCCAAGATGGACGAAACAAACTCACCTGAGGTCAGCTGACTCCTCCCTTTGCTGCAGCGGGTCGTACCAAGTTGGTGGGATATCGGGGGGAGGGGGGTGAAGGGACAGACAGTCAGTCAGACAGGAAATCTTCTCTATCCTTCCCTCATCCCCTCCTTTCCCCATTACTTCCTTCCTTCCTCGTCTCCTCTAACTACTAACTGGACTTGTTGCATGTTGTCTTTGTTTCTTCATGCAGTGTGAAATAATTACCCAGAATTCAAAGAGTTTCTCATGAACGTTAACACGTTAATCAGAGATTCATGAAGAAAGAATATTTATGACAAATATTGAGACGTTATGAGAAAAAGAACTAGTGTGTCCTTTGACCTGTCCTCTGATCCGTCCCCAGTGTCTCTTCACGTCTCCTCGTTGGACCTGAGTTTTAATTTTAAGTTGCAACAGAATTCTGTTATTATAATAATAAATCCGTTAAATGAAACGTGGTAAAAGTTTTATGGAAATTAGACGATGACTTCATCTCATAATGTGTTACTGTGAATGACGTCATGATTTAATGACTTTACTCTTCGTCTTAATAAACTTGAAGCAGCTTATTTTTTTTTTTTTATGGTTTTTTGTTTTTAATCGGATTCTTTTCTTTGAAGTTTCATTCGTTCGCGTTTGTCTTCTGGGTTTCAATAAAGATTCATTCAACAAAAAACAGAAATCGTGGAAATATGTTTAATTTTGACTTTATTTTCATCTCTTGAGACTGTTTACTGATTAAATCCTGACTTCATGTCGTCATTATATTTTATATCTAAAATACATTTTCATGTGAGGACACTTCTCACCAGACACCAGCATGCTCTCTTCTGTTTCCTCACGTCTCTGATCACATGATCAATGAACAGGAATCAATACATTCATTATACACATGTATATATTTAGATACCCAGTAAGGAACTAAAGTTTAAAGTCCTAAACCGCTTTAACGCGTCATAGCTGTAAGTGACCACGAGGGGGCGGGCTTTTATTTCTCCACATTGGAGGTCAGCAAACCGGAAACACATGAAGAAGAAGACGAGCGCTGGTCTCCACATGTTGAGCACATCAGAGGAACATTAGTATTATTCACACGTTGTAGTTTAGAGGCGTGAGAACAAACATGGAGGACGTGAACGTTATTAAGCTGCCGGTGACGGAGGAGAGACTACCGGCCAAGAAGAGGACTCGACCGCCGAAGTTTGACCCCAGAGAAGAGGACCAGGAGCGGCAGACCAACGTGAAGAGGCTCGCGGGTCTGGGAGAAACGGACGAGTCGGTGAAGCTGCTGGAGGAGCTTCTGTTCGGAGCGGAGGACGAGCTGGTGGACCGACTGGTGGAGGTAACTCACCTGGTTCTCTCACTGAAGCAATATATGAGGAGTCCTCACGAGCTCCAGTGGCTCCGATCAATCCGGATCTCTGTCTCGGGTGACCCAGTCTCGTCTCACTAGTTTCTGTGATATGAATGCTGATATTTGTGTTTTTATACCACAAGAGAACAATTTAAAATCGTATACTGTTAGAATGAACCGTCACTCAGGTGTGCTCACCTGGAGCTTCCTCTGACATCACTTCCTGTCATCCTCCAGCAGGAGGAGGAGCAGACCGGAGCCTCATTGGTGGAGGATGGAGACGACGGGGCATGTGACTCTGAGGACCAGGACCCTCAGGACCAGGTCCAGACCAGAGAGCCCGTCTGGGTCGACGAGGATGACGAGCTGGAGGAAGAGTGAGTGTGTCGTAACCGTGGAGACACGTTTAATCCAACAATAAGACTTATTGTTAATTAAATATTTATTATTATGATTCTGTTTATGGTTCAGAGTCGACATGAAGCATCGTTACCGTAGAGACCTGATCAGAGGAGAGGCGGAGTCAACTATGACCAATCAGAGACTACAGGAGAGGATGAGACAGCAGTGAGTACACACACACACATCTACACACATGTATATGTATGTATATGTATGTATGTGTGTATGTGTGTATATGTGTGTGTGTGTATGTATATATATGTGTGTGTATATATGTGTGTGTGTGTGTGTGTATGTATATATGTGTGTGTGTATATATGTGTGTGTGTGTGTGTGTATATGTGTGTGTGTGTGTGTGTGTATATATGTGTGTGTGTGTGTATATGTGTGTGTGTGTATATATGTGTGTGTGTGTGTATATATATGTGTGTGTGTATATATATGTGTGTGTGTGTATGTGTGTGTGTGTGTGTATATATATGT